TCGCACGTAGAGCAACGAGATTACCTAAGCGGCGGGGCAGAACAATATGGGAACAAAAAGCAGTTTGAAAATTGTATGATTCATAGTCAAGTCTTCTAAATATATCATATCGTGCTAAAAAATGCCGCCAAGCCTTACTATATAATATTATCTGTCTTGGCGCGTGCTTCAACTGGTGACAGTNTACCTTAACTCGAGTTAAGGCCCCGTGTAGGCGCTTAACTCGAGTTAAGGTTCGTCGTGTAGACGTAGCTACAGTGGCACGCCATGGCAACTGCGAAATTACCTGAGATATAGTTAGATACGTTTAGCTTGCTAGTGATATCTGCTCCAGCGTGCATCGTTTTATTTACATGTATAAAATATATAATAAAATGTATAAAATGTATAATAATAAAATGTATAATATATATATTTGTTTTTGTATATGTTTAGCAGCGTTGAAAAATGTCTATTTAGACGGCGCTGTAAAGATAGAACACTTGCGTTAGTGTAAGTGAATTCAGTAGTAATCCGGACTCTTGATCTATCTTCACTCATCCTGGGAAGTAGATGATCCTCATGCCTGCAGCATTTGGCTGGGGCTGGTCTATATTTGCTGACACGTAAATCACGAGTGACCTCTCTTGCTAGTGATCTCTATTCTAAACTCGCCTTTAAGGTTTTGATTGATTGATTCCACCTCACATAGGTTATAAGCTTTGTGATGTATATGAAAATAAACCGAATTAATATTGCATCATCTGTTAAACCACCTAAGCAAGCGGAAAAACATACAATGCTTTGAATAATTAACATTGCAAGGCAGGTGAAATGAGGTGAACATGTTCACATTTGAAATTTGTATTTAATAATGCTCTCACTTTGTTGCCAATCAATAGTAAGGATGCCAAAAGAACACAAGTACACGTGCAATTGTGGTATCATGTAACTCAGAATATAAATCAACTTATGATCAGACTGTAACTAGTCCAGTAACCGAGTGTTCTATTATAACTATGACATGTGTCAATATATATATATATAGAGAGAGAGAGAGAGAGAGAGAGAGAGAGAGAGAGAGAGAGAGAGAGAGAGAGAGAGAGAGAGAGAGAGAGAGAGAGAGAGAGAGAGAGAGAGAGAGAGAGAGAGAGAGAGAGAGAGAGAGAGAGAGAGAGAGAGAGAGAGAGAGAGAGAGAGAGAGAGAGAGAGAGAGAGGGAGGGAGAGAGACAGAGAGAGAGGGGGAGAGAGAGCCATTGAGACACGATGGATTACCCATGCTCTGTTCTGTTACATATGATGATGTTATACATAGCATTCGAAGCATTAAATTATTACTGTAGAATGACAAATCCAGCTAAAGGCATCACTCACAATTGCCGCCACGCAAAACAACAAACTTGTTGAGAGAAGTCATTTCACATTATTGAGACGAATGTGACATCAGAAATAAGAGAGCACATTTCTACAAGATGGAGGGGGCATCGTCACCATGGCAACCGTGCCAACTTCCTCCAAAACCATGTTCTCACTGTTACAGCGCTGCAGGAGAAAATCATCACTGTCAATGCTCTCACGACTACATCGTCACCAATCGTCACTGCCCTCACGACTACATCGTCACCAATCGTCAATGCCCTCACGACTACATCGTCACCAATCGTCAATGCTCTCACGACTACATCGTCACCAATCGTCACTGCCCTCACGACTACATCGTCACCAATCGTCAATGCCCTCACGACTACATCGTCACCAATCGTCAATGGCATGCGTCACTGCCTCACGACTACATCGTCACCAATCGTCATGCCCTCACGACTACACGTCACGAATCGTCAATGCCCTCACGCACTACATCGTCACAATCGTCAATGCTCCTCGTGTCTCTCACCTATCCAGTGTTTGCACACCTCTCATATCCAGTGTTTTCACGGCTATCACATCATCACCGTAACCATTTGTTGTAGACAGGAGTTCATCAGCTTTCTTCTAGTCATTCTGTTAGCATCGTCGTCGTCGTCGTCGTCGTCGTCGTGACCGCATCATCATGACCAGGGTAGCGTCATCGGCTGCGGATTCTGAAGATACGACATCACTACGGCCGACATGGAGAGCATGAAGCTGCTCAGGATCTGTTTAGTATCGTCCGACGATTTCGAGTTTGCGAAGCTGATGCAGGAACAGTAGAGCGCGACCCATGCACACCACTTCATTCGCATCATCAGACCGCAGATGCTGAAACAATATGAAAGAGACACGTTTCATTGTCTTATCACTGGGAAACCACACTTCCAACGTGTGTTAAATGACCATTATGAAGAGATTGGCCGTAGTTAGGGCGACAGTTTATTGTTATACATTTCTAATCTAGACCCTGTTGTCACATACCGATTCATACTCTGCGATTATCACATGGATTTCATAAAAAAGATGAAGTCACTGCGCTTGAAATCCAGGAATAACTCAGACATGTGTATTATTATGACAAAACCTTATGCTGGATGACAATTTCAAAATCATTGTGTGTTCCATAGATAACAATATATTGATGATATATAACAGTTACACCAGTCGGGTCTATGTCTCCCTGGGTACTGCCGGAACGTACCCTGAGTGCTATCTAATATGCCGGACCGTACCTCGCCTACTCCACTAACGAGTCTAGGGAGTCGCCTACACCTACTCCCTAACCCTAACGAGTCTAGGGAGTCGCCTACGCCTACTCCCTAACCCTAACCATATCACATAGTTACCAGGGTACGTTCCGGCAGTACCCAGGGAGACATAGACCCTTTCAGGAACAGTTACAGAGATGTTATATAACATTGATACACCATTTCCATTACAGAGAGCAATTTATCCATCCTGCAAGTTATTATCTTTGACACAAATATGTAACCCAACAAAGTACATGTATTCTAATCTGTACCCACTATGTGGGGTTACATATTTGTAACTCTGTGAATGCAGTGTAGCCTTCACAATACACCACATGACCCCTATTAACATCGTTTCCCTTAACGTTTTTTTTGTTACGTCATTGTCACCAAGGCATCGGCCATATCATGAGAAATAATCTATGTACTGAGTAAATTTTACCCTTTACTTAACAACGGACGTTTGCTTTATTGATTTATAAACTAAATATGTCTGAAACTTAGGTGCAAGTACATTATTAACATTTTTAGCGGTTTCTTAACGTCATTTCAGTTAATGTCGCAATTTTCAGAAACTTATCTATGACGTTATTGAGGGAATTGGTGGAATTTGACGTTTTTCCAAGTTGTACCTGAAGATCATGCCAAGGACGTTCATGTAGTCAGGAACCGGGTCATCTCCCGATCCTGGAGTATCTCCACTGGCAGGTTTATACCTTTTCACCTTATTAGGGCGACGAGGGTCATTGCCATAGTGATTAGCATTGGCAGCAGTGGTGGCAGCAGCAGTAGGGACTACACCAGCCATTACAAGCTGAAACGCAAAGAAACGAGGCGTGAACACACGTGGCACTCTTACTCTTATACAGCTGGGTACTATGTTAATATGGGGGTAGAAGTTGTACCTGAAGATCATGCCTATGGGGGTAGATGTTGCACATGAGATTTTACTAATTTCAGCTAAGGAAACACTTTTGGCACAAACACCATGGCAAAAACATTAGTAAGGGGAATGTTAATATTAAAATCGGCAGTATCAAACATGTATATAGCGTTTATACGGAAAGAGGCTTGGCTTGGCTAGGGCCGGGTCTAGTACTGCTATCGCTACTAGTAGTAGCTAGCGTCCAAAATATTATTAGTAATAGTAGGAAAGACATCAGAGTCCACCCGAACTTAGTCTACAGTACACTGTACAGACCAGGGCAGGTACAAGAAAGGGCCATTCATTAAACAGAGTGGCTATATGCCCGGCAGCCGGCATATATCTGACAGCTGCCGGGCACGGTCTTCGATTTCCTAAATGCCTGGCAGTTTTTAATTTTCAGCGTTATCTCAAGTAAACAAGGGTTAGGGTTAGGGTTAAGGTTAGGAACTACCGGGCATTTAGGGAATCGAAGACCGTGCCCGGCTGCCGGGCATATAGCCACAGCGTTCATTGAAATGCCGCTTTTGACAGTTTTGTACAGGTGCTTACTGTCAAATACCTCTTAGCACAGGCACTTGGACCGTTTCAATAATAAAATGATGGTTAATAAATACAACTTGTCAGTAGCCTACTACTACAGTACCAGCAATAGTCTTAATGTTTGATTTGACCTAATAACTTCACTTCAACACCGTTAAATACACCGCTGCAACACATAGCCCGCACGCCATTGTGCATGCACAAATACACAGTCTACTCCTATCTACTGTGTATTTGTGCATGCACAATGGCGTGCGGGCTATGTGTTGCAGCGGTGTATTGAACGGTGTTGAAGTGAAGTTATTAGGTCAAATCAAACATTAAGACTATTGCTGGTACTGTAGTAGTAGGCTACTGTCGTACTGACAAGTTGTATTTATTAACCATCATTTTATTATTGAAACGGTCCAAGTGCCTGTGCCTCTTAGCATAGTCTACAGACACAAAGTACAAGTAACTTGTCATTTAATTTGGTAAGGGTGGTAACTGGTACTGGTAATAGTGGTAGGCCTATACTTAGTATACTAGTATAGAGTACGGTATAGTACTAAGTATAGTACTATTAGTAAATTAGTATTGACCATTGGGCCTGGCATTGTCATTGACATCGATTCCCAGATTAGCAAGTATAAACACAAACAGTCAAAAAGAGACTACGCATTTAGTGGCAATATGTCGAGCTGTTGCAACATTTCATTTGAATAAAACTAACCGTAGCAGGTGTCTCGCAGATGTAAGAGGAATATAGTAATGCCAAAGTTTCAGTAAAACGAGGAAACTAAAACATCTCAACAAAAATGTACAAACTCGCAGAAGAGATGTTCTATTATTAGGTATCCCGTAAACGATGATGTCATACTTCTGTGCGTGTGAGCGATCGAAGCGACATGTGCACAATGTGGATCAATGTAAATAACAACATGCACTGCATGATCATGGATAAGACAAGTTATATATAGTTCGAATAAATACAAACATCTAACATGTAATATTGTTTATATTTGCAACGTTAAAGGTTGGCAGAGATCGTGGTACCAAGAATATGTGTAGAAATATAAAGTTTTGAATGGCGTCACAGACTTTCGACCTGAGGTTTGACACTGGCAATGCTAGAAAACACGGCCCAAGGATAGAGAACATGGGTCCCAATAAAACAATGTGCCTAACCCTAACCCTAACCCTAACCATAACCCTAACCTAGTATTATATTATAATATTATATTTATATTGATGTAAATGACATTGGTTTTATTGGAACCCATGTTCTCTATCCTTGAACCAAAACACTCGTGTTGACTCTCCTCTTTTGCGCAAAGCTCCTCTTTTACTCGTGTTGACTCAGACTGTTTTATTTGACACTTGCTAAATAAACAAATCTATCTGACACCGTTAATAATAGTATTAGTGTCGCTAATGCCTTTTTAATTCACTAACCAGGGGTCGAAATTAGATTTTTATTATGGTATCCAATATCCATTCGGGATACCACTACCAGGTGTTGAAATCTGGTATGATTCCCCCCCCCCCAAAGGTCTGGTATCCCATTTTTAGGATAGTAATTTCAACAATGTTGGTATCGAAAATCTTTAAATATGCAATAATAGCATTTGAAAATTATTAATATGTAATGTAATTATTATATAAAAACATGAAAACAGATTCACAGATATGCACAGACAAGTACAATGCAGACGTATTGTCTAGACGCATTGTCTGGTTTGCTTGATAAAATGTATACACATCACATTTATGATCAACATTGGCCACGCTTACGCTTGCGCTTGCAAATATGCTATGCCTGCTGTATAACGCTAGTGTGGCAGGGTGCTTGAGCCCGCTCAGATCGCGCGCACTCGCTCAGATGCGCTGCCGTATAAAGTTGAGAACTCAACAACCACTATCCCGATTTTGGCGATTTTTTTTTTACTATCCCGGTGGGATACCAAGCATTGAAATCTGGTATCCAACACAAGAATCTACTATCCCGCGGATATCGGGATACCACTAATTTCGACCCCTGCTGACAGTAACACTGTGTGTGTTAGTTTCAGTCCAGGCCCATAGCCAGGGGGGGTTCGGGGGGTTCGAACGAACCCCCACCCCGGGGCCCCCCCCCAAATAAAAATAAAAAATTTTGAAAATTTGCAAGAATTTCACCTCAGGTCGCTCCATTTTAGTGTAATAATTGCAAAATCTCCATCGTGCGGGAGGGTGAACAGTGAACACCCCTCTCCCACACCCTCCCCCCGAATCATGTACACGCCCCTGCCGAGCAATTTGCCAACATTGAAAAACGAACCCCCCCAATAGAAAGCTGGCTACGGGCCTGGTTTCAGTTTCACTAAGTCATTTTCGCTCAGTGGTGTTATTAATTTACGTAATAATATGCGGTGAAGTTTCTTTATCTCCGATCCACGAGTGGGGTAGTGACATTACTAGTGGACATAAAGTGGTGAATCCATTTTGGAGGAGGCATAAAGTATATGGACACCTGTATCCATGTGGCTCAAGGGTAACGTTAAAAGGGACGTTTATCAAGAGATATTTATTCTATAGATGAAGTTTTACTGTATGACTGCAACTCAAGGAAACTAGCAAAAGTGCCTTTTATAGACAAGGGCGCCCATTTTATAGAAATGTTCCCTTATGCAGATTGATTTCTCTGTGTACATGTGTCTATTTTATAGAGATTTTCCCTAACACAATATAACACAGGTCAGTCTGTAATCATGGGGTTGCGACAAACTTCAGAACTGTGGCATGCATGCTATGTTTGCTTCGCCTTAACTGGCTATGTAGGATAACAGCATTCACCACTTGAGTCTTTGACCTATGACCTTGAGGTGTGCTGACATAGCTGATCTGTACTCGTTAGCTGGAGCAAGGCACCTTTGTTAATGTCTAGAAATGGTGTTACTGCTTAATTAATGTTATGCTAGCTTTGAGGCTGTGTGTACAGGACTAGAGAGATGGTTTCTCCTTTCAGATTTCACCTGTGCACCTGGAACACAGGAATACAGAATCCAGACTCTGACAGTTTTACCGAGCTGCTAGGATTGGATGCAGATAATTTAGCAGATATTTATGCAATTGGGTAAGAACGCATTTTGCACTCGATAACATTTTTATCACGGGCTATATTTCGCTGTTTGTTTGATGCATAGCACAAGTGCTATAGTGGTATAATTTAGCTTGAATTTATTTCCAGCCTACAGGAAATCAGTGCACGCGTAATCCCTTACGTTAAGTCGGCGTTCTACGATGATGTGTGGACTACGAAGTTCAAGGCCGTCATGCAGACGTTTGATTACGTTAAAGTAGGTTTCATCGTCATATTGCTCATATTGCAATTCAGCAGTCTAAGAAGTGCAACCTAAGAAGGTTAAGGAATAACGACATTATAAATCTACAGGCACACAAACACATATATATATATATATATATATATATATATATATATATATATATATATATATGTGTGTGTGTGTGTGTGTGCTTGAAAACTTGCAGGTGAAATCTATAAGGCTGCAGGGTCTGCTGTTGCTACTGTTCACCAGGCGGCGCCACCTACCTTTCTTAAGAAATGTGGAGTCAACATTTACACGTACAGGATTCGCTGGATTCTGGGTGAGTATGAATTACTATTTAATGGTAATTTCAGTTCTTTACGACTAGTCTTGACATGACTTCTAGCTGCTTGTTAATTTGCTAGTAATACAGGTAATAGAATCCCCCCACGTTTTGAGCATGCAGCAATGTATATTGTAGACACGTGATTAGCGCTACCTTGTTTAAGAGGTTCTGTAATGAACTAGAGACAAGTAAAGACAAGACAAGACGAGAAGTAGCGTTCAGTAGTGTTTTACTACATAATACCACATAGAAACTCAATGTGCTACAGACTAGCAAGACCGTTCATTTACATAGCAACCGTATCACGCACTTACACCTTTCTCGATCGGTGTCTTCTAACAAGAGCCCCGAGAAGCAATGGCTTCCACCTTATATACGCCGCGCCCTTTTCCTACGTCACCTCTCGTTATAGCTCCCTTCTCCGCTTCCTCCGGCCAACTGGACATGCCAAATACGGGAATGCAGTCCTACACCTTCTCCATTACCCGGGCCCAATGCCACGGATATGCATGTCTTTGCCCTTAGCTTCGTACTTGACCGAACTCCATGCTCCCATTCCTGCTCTGATGTCGTAGGTCATGTGGTCAGCGTCTAGGTTGTCACATGCGCAATGCCCGGGGAAACCTTAGCTCCGCGCTCGCCCATTGCTTGGTCTCGTACATGCTTGACTAGCTCGCGTAGCGTGCATTCTTAGCATGTTGTGACACCCCTCTCGACACTGTGGCGCCAAGATTGCATTTCCCCGCGTCGCTATCGCTCTCTCGTGGCATCTGCAATCTGCCCGCTTACAATATGTATAGTGTGTTATTTGGTGGTAGAAAAAGTTACATTTGTAAGTCATCATGAGTAGACACCTCACCTGTGTATTTCATCATAACAAAAACAAAAAAATCTATAATAAGAACTCTTTGCATGTTATTCTGAAAACAAGACTTACTCCATGCAAAATAGCAATGTGAATTAATTTAAAAAGCATACATCATTTTTCTTTGATTTTTGCGAGTAAAATAAGGTATAGCGATGTGAATGCATCTGTGTATTCCAGGGCAATAAGGGAGCAACGAGCATCAGACTTGCTATCTACGACCGTTCGATATGCATTGTAAACTGCCATCTGGCGGCGCATCATGAAGCGTGCGAAGAGCGAATAGAAGTGAGCATCTCTATCGTCACGGTAACTATGCAGCACTTACAGCGGTCGATGATCAATGTATTCAGAATGCTAACATGATAGTCTCTCTCTTGTAGGACTACGACATGATCATGGATAACCACTGCTTTAAGGATGTAGATACAGAACAGATATTGGACCATGAGTAAGTAGATATGACAGACGGACAGTTAAATCGTGTGGCGAGGGGAAGTGTGCGGTTACTATATCATGAAGTATAGACTATAGTGAAATAAGTGGTACATTGATATGAGTTCTAGTCCAGCATTCTCGAGAATTTGTGTGATTAAGCGTGGGGGCAGCAGGAATGAATATTGACACGAGTGGTATTATTTCACAGATTTTATCATTTAAAACCATTGAGGTTTACTGTGTGGCTTCTGGAATATCTGTGTAATTCTGATGCAGAACAACTGAAACTGCCATTTATGCGTTATTGATTTAGTTGCTGCTAACTGTTACATGTACTGCTATTGATGCTACTACTGCTATTCTAGTACTGTTGCTGTCATTGCTGTTATTGTTGCCCTAGCACTGCTACTGCTACCACTACCACTACTGTCAGTGCTACCACAGTCATTACTAGTGTGGGAACTAAAACCTATTTTTTGTGTTTCAGCTATGTATTTATGTTAGGCGACCTCAATTTTAGAATAGATGACATGGGTGTTGATGAAATTAGAAAGCACATAGAGCAAGAAAACTACTCCAAACTGCTTACATATGACCAAGTAAGTTTATGGGTTTTAACAAGGAACTATGAATAGAAGTTTACAAGTTACTCATAGTTCAATTGGGATTGCATTATGATACGTGAAAATTCATGTAGTTCATTATTCACTCGAATTTTATTTAAAATGCTGAAACAGAAAAAGCATCATACATGCGAGGGAGAGAGACAGAGAGAATGAGATATCTCTTATTACAATACATTTGCATTGTGATATTTCATATTATGGTCTGATGTGTGTTACATTTAAATGTTGGTTTATAAAATTGATTAATTGTAATTACCTTTTTCATGTTACAGCTTAATAAATGTATAGCAGCAGAAGAAGCATTTGAATGGTTCGTTGAGGGCCCAATAACATTTCCTCCAACTTACAAATTTGAAAATGAGACAAACACTTACGATACAAGGTATCTGAAATACATGTAAATTTAATTACCATGTATATATATATATCATATAATTGTTAGTTGTTAACCCTGGTAGGTCAAGCCCAGCCACAAACCATTTGTACAGTATGTTACATATGACTAACTATTATTTGTTGGGATGTGAGAGGCTGATGAGACAGTTAGATCTTCGGAAATAATATGCTAATATAATTTACAATTCACTTCACATCAGTCGGATAAATGAAGACCAGCGTACCCTGTTATTGATCGCATCGCCCTTAGCTATTATCCGTTGATCTTGCAGCAGGCGACCGGCGTGGTGCGACAGGGTGCTGTGGTATGTAGCCGATCGCGATAGCGTGGAGGTGGAAGCGCGACAAGAATTCTACAGGAGCCACCCGCGCTACCGGTGCAGCGACCATCGTCCCGTCACAGCGCTGATGAGTGTGACGGTATGTATGCATGCTTCCCACCAGGGAAAAAAAAATAACTTTTTTTTTCACAGGAGCTCTTTTTCAAAGGTCTGTGGAAAAAATAGCTCTCATCAAAACTTTACGGGAGATATTTTGAGCCTCACGGGAGCGATTTCGGAGGTTTGAAGAGCGAATCGCTCATTGCTTCCGTGTATTTGTTACCCTGCTTCCTACAGCACTGCATCATCTGACATTTCTCCTATCAGTTATTTATTTTATTATTTATTTATTTATTAATTTAAAAACAGTAGACATGTAGTTCTTCTACGTGTGTGGAATCTTATCAGGATATGTCACTAAATCTGTTTTATATCGCACAGAATCCATATAGCTTCGGGGGAGGGGGCTTCCCCAACCCCGCACCGGACCCAAGTTGTTTTTATTCCCCACTTATTTTTGTTGGCACCCATGGAAGTGAGACCCAATCGGGTCCATCTGGTCGTAGGTGGTCGTGCGCACAATGTGGCCATGCACTCATTCGCTGGTGGTCGTTTTAAATTTTCTCCATTCCTTCTTTTGTAGTTATGTCGATGATTCGCAGCGGTAGAACCTTTCGTAAATTACATCTTCGTTGCCACTAGGTGGCAGCGCCGTCCGACCAGCAAGCGGTTGTTTTTCACCCGGTGGAGCGGGCGACCGTGGGTGAAACACTGACTCTGTCCTACACGCTGTTGCCAGGCACACCGACTTCGAGCTGGGACTGGGTGGGGCTCTACAAGGTATGGTGCTCCTGTTGTCCCACGCGTCCTCTCATACTTTGTTAGTTGGAGTTGGAGAGGACAGTTGTGTAGGACTCGCACTGTAAGATTAGTGTGAATTTATTGACCGTGAATTGTGAAACAGTTGAATACATTGAATATGTCATTTGATACATTGAATTTTGCGTGAGGATTTCATGCTGTATTTCGGTATATCGCAGAGCAACTTTGGTGACCTTAACGACTATGCAGTGTATGTGTGGACGGTCACTGAAGCAGAAGGTGATTGCACTCTGAAGCTACGAATCAAGAATGACACCGTGCCTGCCTGCTACTGCCTGTGCTATATCAGTTCCAGACTCAGCTGTGTGTTAGGGGTCAGCTCTTCGTTTGAGGTAGGTTTACTCTTGAAATTCTCCACGTAACAAAAGTTCAATCACTAATAGCACGTGTGTTGCTCGACTGTCTTCAACAATTTCCTTAACATAAAAATTGATGTTTTACAATGGAGCAACTAATGCCAATTGCAAAGATAGCAGGAAAAATTGTTAACTTTTGATATATTTTCTATAATATATAATATCAAGCTAAGGAAACTTGTATATAATTATGAGATAGACCTCAGAGAAATAGAAATTGGTATGCTGAAAAATGGTATATGTTGATGAGTGCTGCCACATTATGTTCAGAAAACTTTATACACATTTTTTTTCTAACTTGTTACACTGACCTGTTCTTATGTATCAAGGCTGGTGTGCATAGACTTTTTGCATGTACCACACTAATATTGTTTTTGCTCTATCCAGATTATACCATCAGCGATCTGCAGCTCAGCAGCCAACCAGAAGCCTGTCCTTGCAGCCACAGACAGTTGCGAAGACCTACTGCAGAGAGGACAACCAGGCCTTTGAACACATCAGCTATACGTTTATCCAGAGACAATCGATAATTGGGTCCAACCGGAAGCCTTGCGATAACCTCTCCATTGATATGCTGCATGCTTGCACTCGTTATTTTGAATAATGAGAATGTGATCGTATGTGCAATTCACGTAAGGCGCTGCGTCTGACGTGCAGTTGCCATGTGCGAGCGAGTTATACTGTCCTCTGTGCTGCAACTTTAGCTGCTTCCAGGCAAGTAGATGCTTTCACTGCCAGAACACACTCCACATTATGTACTGCTAAGTGGCTGTGACTATACAAGCATGGCGCATCACAAATCCGTACGTGCACAGATGGCGCTACTTGGCAAACGATGCTTTTCGTGTGATCGTATAGCCCAACGCACAGATTTAGTGTGGTACTTAATTTTTTTACGTGTTTACTAAAATTAATATATTTAACGTCAAAGTGGTATGGTATGTGGTGATACATTATGTGCACATTTTACCGAGATTATGCACAAACATGTTTGAATTTTTTGTTGTTGAAAAGTGTTACTCTATCATGAATATTCATATTTTAGGCAGCGCAACTGTGATTTTAGGTTACATGCAGTTCTTGTGGTCTTGGAACACCAAAGTGTTTCGTATTTAAACCTTTACTACACTGAAATATTCAAGCTTGCATTGTGTTAATGTGATGTGCCATTATATTTGTTACACGTTTACCTTGTTCAAAAGCTATATTTGTCAAATAATATATACTCTATCTAAGATATTCAAGATTTAAGTGCCATTTAGTGCACGTGAGTGTCATTTTACCTCTGTTTTGGTAATACAGTAACAGACAATCGATCGTTAATGAAATTATGTAGACGTGAATTTGGATCAAAATAGTGCGCATTGTGATACAGTCTACAGATATAACAACCATGAATATTTTACTGTAAATCTGACATGCATATCAATAGAAAAGGTGTGTGGTTATATCCAATACA